AAAGGGCGTCGATAAAATCAGCCCTCGAAAAACCTCAAGAGGTATCGAATTATTCACATACAAACTTGTGCTAAGGCACTAAAAATAAAAGGGTTTCGATCGACACTAAGCCCTCAAAAAACCCAATGGGTAAAAGATGCATGACAAGGCACAAACATAAAGAAATTTTTACTAAGTCTTTTAAGCCGAAAAGGGAAAATAATAGCCATAAAAGGCCATATCGGCCCAGCCTAAAAGAACCTAAGGGTCAAAACATTCAGAGTTCGAGACCTTTCTTCTCACTCAACTCGGACCTAAGGGTCCCACCATCCCGAGCTCGCATAAAATTGACTTAAGCATAGCTCGAGGATTCACCAAAAAACCTTAAGAGGTATTCTATTATAAGATAGCCCGTCGATTACTAAAAAAACCTAAGGGTTTGTTTTACTCTGAGTCTGAGCCGATGCTCACTCGATTATTGAAATTATGACATCAAAAACTAATTCTTCACGAAACGAAAACGAAGCAAATTTCATAGAAAATCGGAGACGGAGCGGAAAGGAAATAAATTCTTTTATATACATGAAGAATATTTACAATGCCCACATGGAGCCTTACACAAAATAAAAAGTCCTAAGGGCCTAATCTACTTTAGGAGTTGCATCTTTGGGAGCCACATCTTCAAGAACCTCCTCCTCGGGGGCTTCATCCTCATCTCCTCCGCTCTCGGAACCACTGGTAGAGTCTTCATCATCAGAGAGTAGAGCGGCAGCCTCGTCCTCCAAAGCTTTTGCCTTTTCTATATCAGCTGAAAGATCAAAGCCACGAGCATGCACTTCCTCGAGAGTCTCTCTCCGGGATTGTCGCCTGGCGTGGTCGATTGAGCATGACAATTTGACTTCAGCAGCAGTAGAGATCTCATGTGCCCGAATATTGGCAGCCTCGGCGTCAGCTCGATAAGAGGCCACAAATGCGTCCCTCAGATTTAGCCTTTGTAAGTTCGACGGCCGACTTAGCTTCGAGCTCCTCAATCTTTTGACTCCGGGCCAATCTTTCCACCTTCACGTTTTGAAGTTGACATTCGACCGAAGTCAGCTGGGCCCAAAGAGTGTCCTTCTCCGAAGTGAGACGATCCATATGTTGCTTCCACCCAGGGTCTCGGCCTCTTTCACCTTGATTTCCTCTCGAAGATGCTCCACCAACTCGCCCTTCTGATGGGCCAGCAAAGTCGAAGTGTTAGTCGCTAAGTCAGATAAACACATAACAAACTCCCAAAAGGTTACATTACCTGCTCAATGAGCTCGGTCTGTTCTCGATGAGCCTTCGTCAAGTCGCCTCGTAGGCCCCTGATCTCCATCTCTTTTTGAACGTAGAGGAGTTTGAGGATGTCCCTCTCTTCCGCAAGCTTCTTGATTTCGGCCTCACATCGGGAAAGCTCGGCTCGAGACTTGGAGAATGCTTGTCGGTGGAGCGTCACAGCCTTCACACAAAGAAAAGAAGTTAGGCTAAAAAAAATGAGAATAAAGCACCAGCATAAACTCACTTGCTTAAGAAGACGCTGAGCCTCGTCAAAATAAACGAAGCATCCGGGTCGGGACCATCTTCTACCCCCACAAAGCATTCCCGAAAAATATCATTCCCTTCGTGGGTCGTCCCCACGTCGGGAGTCTTCATGGCCCAGGTATCTCGATACTGCCCTTCAGAGAACACAGGGCCATGCGGAGATTCATCTATGTTAATTATCCCAAGTGATTCACTTGGGACATTCTCTTCTCTTTGGAGGGCCTCGGAATTAGGCTCTTCGGACTCACCCGCCAAATGTCCTCCAAGACGAGGTAAGCTTTTACCACCCGATGGCTCGGGGACTCTGCTCGATCTCCCCTCCGAGATTTCTTCGGTTCGAGATTGAACTGCATCAGCCATCACCGGTTCGACAGACTTCAAAGCTTCAGTTCTCCTCCTTTTCCGAGCTACCATCAAGCAGTCGGCATCCTCTCCTTCTTCTTCTTCATCTCAAAGTTGTTGGACCGCGTCTTCGGATAGGGCTGCAGGATCGGCCCTAGGATTTCGAGCCTTATTTTAGGCTTTGGGGAACTTGTTGGCTAAGCCCTTTTCCTTTTCTTCTCTTTGATTGCTTCAAAATTTCCTCTTTACCGGGCGGGGGCGGCCTCATAGAAACAGTGTCTTTGAGGCCTGCGTAAGGGGAAAGTAAGTATTTTACAGAGAAACGTCAATATATGAACAAGGGATTCACCATGGTTTTTAACTTCCCACCGGCCTTTGGCCAAATCGCGCCAACATCATTCTGCATGTGAAGAAGTGGAGGCCAGTTGTCGAACCCAACCTGCGAGATCCGGAATAGCACCAGGAAACCAAGGGGAAGCTGCGCCATCGGATAGGAGTTAGATCAAAGAAGAAATAGAGAAAGCAGAGTAGTAAGCATCATCAATCGGGCTATACTTACGTTTCATGTTCCATTCCTCGGGGAATGGCATCCTTTCGGCAGGAATTAAGTCGGAGGTCTTGACTCGGACAAACCGGCCATCCATCCTCGGTCCTTGTCCTCATCTATGCTAGAGAATAGCGCCTTCTAGGATCGACGCTAGAGATTTATCAAACCGCCTCGATAGAGGCAAGGGCTGTATAGCCTGATCAGGTGGTCGAGGGTAAAAGACATCCTCTTGACCTTGCCCGAGAAATATCTGAGCAAATTAACGATGCACCAAAAAGAAGGGTAGATCTAGGCAAGGGTCACCCGATATTGGTGACAAAAGTTGAGAATGACTGGATCTACATAACCCAGTACTGGATCTACGGGACCCAGTGTGAAAGGATAAGTATACTCACTTAAGTATCCTTCCACGTGAGTGGTGATGTCCTCTTCGGGGGAAGGAATCACCACCTCCTTATCCTCCTAGTTACAATCCATTTTCACCTGCTCTAGATCGTCTTCAGTCATCGAGCAGATGTATCGAGACATGGGCTCGCATCGGCCTAGAACTGATGCAGGCTTATTGATTTTGAAATCGGAAGATAGCTCGCATGGCCCAGGAATGCACTCCACGTTACGAGGTGGCACCGTCGTTCTACCACTGGCTGGCCGCGATGATGAGGAGGCTTTTTCTTTCTGAGGGACGGTTTTAGATGTGTTGGCCATCGCTGTTGAGAAACTTAGAAGAAGAGAAGAAGTTGATGTTAGAACAAGTGCAAGTTGAAGAGAGGATGGACTCAGAGAAGATGAAGAAACTAGTGAGGATTTGCGAAAGGTTTGAGAAGTAAAGATTGTAAGGGTTGTGAAAGTGACCTATTTATAGTGGCCGCTTCAACGGTTCGGGGAAGCCAATGGCCGACCATCAACTGCCTTCAATTAATTACCTTGGGAACTATGCAGACGCGACCTTTCAATCACTTCTGTCGCAGACATCACGGGATTGACATCATGATGGAGGCATCAGAGGATCGAGGATCAGATTGTTTCTTATCATCTTACTCTAAGAAACGCGGGGACTATCTGTATATGGTCGAAATCACGTATGATCGATTTTGTGATCTCGAGGGTCATAGGAGAGAACATGTTCGAAATGGACCGGGCTCGAGCCCGAGGGCAGAGTACAAGACTCGAAGATCGAAGTGCTCGATGAACACCGAGGCCAAGTATGACCAACCTCGAGATAATACCGTAATGGTTTCATAACAGAAAGAGCGAGATTCCCGCATCGGCCCTAGGATCACGGCGTCAAATCCGGAACGAATTTGTACTAGGCGGTTAGACAGCTGTATAATAAGATTCCCTACTACAATTAAAATTGTACCTCATATAGGATCCCCCTACTATATAAAGGGGACCCCAATCATTTCTAACGCATCAATCATTGAGAGAAGAATATACATATTTCATTTTCTTGCTTACTGTTCATTTGATTTGCCTTATTATTTTATTGTTCTTATCCACCTACCTCGAGGTCGCCATTGCTCGAGGTCGAGGTCTACTTACACGACTGGTTTGACTTGCCTTACTCTTTGATTTATACATTAGATTCCTTGCAATTAGTATTGGATTAAATCACATATTTTTAAGACCTCAATACAAATTTAATTGTTACACGGATTTTAGGGTAAACACCCTTCAACGGGCATCACGCAATGTAAATTCGGATTAATCGAGACATTAATGCAAGTACCGAACGAGTGAACTCCTCTCCCCCACCCAAAAAAAAAGACGCGATCCTAGGACCTCCTTCCCTAGACGTAGACATGAGTTTTTTAACAAACTTATGCTATATCCTATTTAAAGTTTAATACAATTCTATCTTCTTACTTTCATTTTCATTGGTATTGTGCCCGAAAATTCTGTTCCCGGAACTACTGTTTCTATTATTTTGTCTCCATCCCGGAATGTATTGCATGTATCTCTAGACTTTTGCTTACTTTTCAAATGTCATTGCTCTTAAGTACGTAAATAGTGTGCGGACTATTTTAACGTTATTCTTATTGACATTCTAAATGAGTTCTTACATTATTATTTTTGTTTGCTCACACTATACACCTCTTAGGGAGATATTATAAACTTATTCACACTCAGGAAAGAGACAAATAAAGAGAAGGATCTTAAAGTACAAAGACTTTTGAATAGATTCCTATTAATATGTTAATTTATCATTACACGGATAGGTGTAGGGAATCTTTACAACACCACTTAAGCAAGAGATTGAGAAATTGAGATGGATCCAACATGTTAAGAATTTTGAACCGCATTATGATAGCCAGATAACAAGGAAACTCAATGCATTACTGAAAGTAGAAACTGTGGGATATGTTGGGAATTAAAAAATAATAATTCCGCCCAGGAATAATACCCACGATAAATAACAATAACACAAGATAGTAACAACGACACCAAATATTTTAACGGGATAAAATACAATACCCCAGTGGAGCAATATTACCACTATAATATTACAACTTAGTAGTGTCAAGAGACTACTACAAGTTCGAAAGAAATAACACTNACGGCCTGGTCCTCATCCATTCCCTCGATAGCTTTTTTCACCTCCATAATCCTTGAAGGATGCCTGAGTTTTAAAAAGTTGCTCCAATGGCACTTCTTGTCTCCTCTTGTTCTTTTCTTCATGTTCCTGTAAAGAACCCTCCAATTGCTCCACCATCATTGAGTCTAAATCTTTAGACTCTTCAATAGCACACACCACAAAATCGAATTTAGGTGTTAAAGTGCGAAGGATCTTTTCTACCACACGAACATCTTTTATGTCCACCCCGTATCTTCTTAATTGATTCACAACAGCCTTCACTTTTGAACAATAATCCGAAATGCATTCGGAATCTTTCATTTTTAAAACTTCAAAATCAGCCCTTAGAGTTTGAAGTTTTACCTTCCTAACCTTGTCAACTCCTTGAAGAGAATTTTGTAAAATCTCCCAAGCTTCCTTTGAGGGGTTGCATCTGCCACCTTCTCAAACATGGCATCATCCAAACATTGGTGGATGAGCGTGAGGGCTTGTTGATCCTTCTTCCTTGTCTTTGCCAAGACATCTTTTTTATTTTAAGGCAGAGCTTCCTCATTATCAGGTTTTGCATGCCCTCCATCTACGATTTCCCACACATCCTGGGAGCCTAGAATGGCTTTCATACGCAGATACCATTTCTCATAATTATCTTTTGTGAGACGGGGATACTGAAAAGACAGTGGACCATTACTCACCATGGCTCTGATACCACGTTGTTGGGAGTAAAAAAATAATAATCCCGCCCAGGAATAATACCCACGATAAATAACAATAACACAAGAGAGTAACAACGACACCAAATATTTTAACGGGATAAAATACAATACCCCAGCGGAGCAATATTACCACTATAATATTACAACTTAGTAGTGTCAAGAGACTACTACAAGTTCGAAAGAAATAACACTCTTTATTTTAAACACCTCACTACAATATTACTCCCACTCACTATTTATCTCACAGACTACAATTTGTGGATTACTCTCTCTACGCTCTATTGCACTCTCTGATTTTTGGTGTGTCTGAAATGAAGAACGAAAGCTTCTATTTATAGGAAAAGTTTCCAGATTTGGCTTTCTAAAATCAGATTTGCATCTTTCCAAATCAAATTTGTCTTTTGCAAATCTGATTTGCAAATTATACGTTTAATCAACTTGTTATCTTCTTTTTCTTTTTCTTTTATTTAAATGGGTCCCACAAATTTCACCTTTATTTGGCATGAAAAAGGGTCGAGCATACAAATATGAGTAATCAGCATACTTGATGGTAAACATCTTTGTCCAAGATTGTCTAACCCCATATTCCTTCATAACCCAAACAGATACATGTTTTCCAGCATTATTAATATATACAGAAAGATCACTACCAAACAATCCAAGCTGCAAATCAATATCTCCTTCTTCATAGGATGGTTGCTCCACCTTTTCCCATTTCTCATCAACCAAATCAATAGATATTATATTACATCCCTTATATGAGAAATAATGATTACAATTATTATTAGCCCAATAAAGCTTCCCATTAACAAACTTACCTAATTCAGTTAAGAATCTCATCTCATCCGGAAGAGAACGGATACTTTTCCAAGAATCACTCTTTAGACTATATATTTCGACCTCAACATTAGACGAATTACTACAATCATAATAAAAACAGCCCACTACCTTATAATCATCACGGAATTCATCATATCCAAAATCGTATATGAAACGATTAACATCCCAGGAATTAGTATTAAAATCAGGCAATTTCTTATACTTTTTAATTGATGGATTCCATAGAACCAAATCTTTTGACGAATCGGCAAGACAAATCAATCCATTGACAGAACCCACAATCCTAAACGATCTTTTGGGGATTTTCATGGGATAATACAACGTAGATGTCTCCATAGCAGACTCATAAAGTAAAGACTTAAGAGACCATTGCTTAAGATATCGACCAAAATTCAATATGAGCATATGGTTAGTGTTGTCCTTGTTATTAGGTGATAAGCTAAGATGGGCCTTGATAAATTCTTGACCAGAGATCAAAGCAAGCCAAGATTTTGAAACACACGTGAATTGCAAGAGGGGTTTCACAGGAAGCTTTGAGAGGATTTCAGTAACGAGTTCTGATGGCAGAATAGGGATTGTCAAGTTTGAATCTTGCCTTAAACTTGATGGATATTGAGCACGCTTTGTAGGTATGCTCCGTTGTGGGTGTCGATGGGAGGCTTCGTCTCCCTCAAATTCCATCTGGGTTGCAAAATCTTAGATTGCTTCACTTCTTTTTTTTGCATGGAGAGATGACTGCGACTGCTTGTTGTAAAAGTCACAAAAAGTCTTTTTATATTTATCTTGAGAATTTTCCTACAAGGTAAAACAAGGGAAAACTACCCTATATACCTATCTAATCAAAAATATTTACTCGTAATTACCTATTTTAAAAGTAATTACAACAAATACTTATTCTATTACAACTAATTACCCGCACATTCAATTCTCCCTTGCGATGGACATATTTAATTTAAGCAGCAAAAGTGTTAATCCTAAAAGGAAGCCAAAGAATAATTAGTTTTTTTCAACAGTGGGTAGTATTGTTTTTTATTTGTACTCCATAATTTAATTTATTTTCTAAAAGTAAAACAAAAAATAATATGTACTATATAACTAAAGTTTGAATTTTCATGTGTGTTGAAATGTTTGTTGTTGGAGTTTATTGGGTATTGTTCTTTGATTATGATATTAATGCTAATTTTTAAATATTTTATTGTACAAAAATTTAAATCCACCATTGAAGGAGCTTGAAGCTTGAAACTCATAACTTGGTTTGTTTTAGTTTTTAATTCTTTTGATCCGATCCTATATGGGTTTGTTTGGAAAGTTGATTGGAGGTTGTAGATAAAGTTTTAGTCAATTTGGTGGAGATTTTGTAGTAGATTTTAGAAGTTCGGGTTGAAATATAGTTAAACAAGTGAAGAAGACGAATTTGTATTGTATACTCAAATAGTATACAAATATACCATTTTGGTATACAATTCATTCCAACTATATGCCCTATTAGTATAGCTATATACTATATTGGTATCATATGCTAGTTGAATCATTTTTTGGTTGTATTAGCTGCATTTATTAGTACAATATTTTATTTTCTTTTAATAATAGTAATATAGTACAATATCTTGAAATACTTTATTATATTAATATGTGGTACGCTATTTTTTTATTTTTCTCTTTATGCATGTGTGCTATGTAATAGTAGTATAGTCATATAGTTGCTGAGAATTAACCAGTAAAACTGTATACCATGTTGGTATAGTTATATACCATATTGGTATCATATGGTAGTTTGAACATTTTTTTGGTTGTCTTGGCTGCATTTTAAGTGAGTTCTATTCTGAAATTATTTATATGAACGTGATTTGCAGTGCTGGAATTTTCTTGTGCTGATGGATATAGATTATGTAATAGTTTTTATAATTATAGGCAATTATTGGAACGACCCATACAACTATATACCATGTTGGTATATGGAATGAGCAAGTTGCTTTGCGAATATTTAGCTTGCAATGCGAGCATGTAATTTTCTCATACTATTATTGTATCCTTTAATGTTTTGGTACAGTATTATAGCCACAGATAGTTGTAGCAATATTCTAGAGCAATCATATACTCTGTTGGTATACATGTATACCATATTGGTATCATATGGTACTAGAAGTCTTTTTTGCTACTTACATTTTTATTGTATTTTTCAATATTTTATTATTATTTCTATTCTAACTAGTATATATGGAGATTTAGTGGCCGTAGATTATGTTTTCTTGCTCCATCACTGGTTGGTGTTACTGCTAATGGTAGAGTATGTACTGATATTTATAGGGAAGGAGATCAAGGTTTGCATGGCAATCACGTGAAATTAGAAAAGGAACAAGAAATAAAGAAAAAAAAATAAAAACAAAAAAAGTAAAGAAGGAGTCAAATTTGAGTGCGAAATAAGTTATGGTAAAAATAACAATAATACGATTTAGACAAAAATAAATGAATAAAAGAGAAAAAAGAAAAAAATAGGAAGAAAAAGAGAAAAAAGAAAAGGAGAAAAGAAAGAAAAAAAAATCATAGAAATAAAAAAGAATTGGAGAATAAAGAAAAAAAATTTCCCACAAAAACTAATATGGGTAGGAAATGTAATTAGTTTATGGGTAGAAAAACAAATAGGTAGGCAAGGGTAAATAGTTTTGTTTTTGTGGGTAACTGTGTCAAACTCCCTAAAACAAACCTAGTGTTTATTTCTTTTGGGCCGTGAATTTTAGGACCCGTTTGGCCATAGATATGTCAAAATAATTGGGTTTCATTTGGCAAATACATGTGTGACCATAGGTTTTGCCTACATTTTGGCAAAATCCCATGGTTTTGGGCCAAAATATCATTATTACATTTTATAAAAATTGCCCCAAACTTTGATATTTTATAAAAGAGCTCGCCATTTATTATTTTGTAACAATGTTACTTCGTCTTCTCGGTCATCTGATAGTGTATCATGTAGTTCATTATAAAAATGATAATTTTGTACCAAATTTATTTATGTTCAGGACTATGGTCCGCGATAATATAATGAATGTTATTGATAATGGTATTGTTGGGTATTTGTGATAGTTTTAAGAACTTGTGGATATAAGTCATGTTTTATATTTTTCCAAAATGAATTTGGGAAATATGTTTTGAAAACTGATGTACAAACATATTTTCATCTTCAAACCAAACTTCACCCAAATCAAATTTTTCAAAACAAATTTGGGAATCTATGGCCAAACACTAGCTTAGTTTGTTCCCTCATTCACTCGCTCCATTTATTTCTGTCTTTTGTCTTTTATTAATTTATTTTAGTTACATCATTTCCTTTTCTTTAATAAAGCAAATTAAAGTAGATACTGAAAATAATAATAAATAATGAAAAAACATACGCCTTTTCTATTTTGCCGGTTCGTTATTTGTTTTCTTTCTTAATAAACTAAAATAAAATGAAAATTGAAGATAATACTTACTAGTTACTAATTAAGTTAAGAAAAAATGCATCCAAGAGTGTAGTCTAGTGACCAATAAGCTGAAAGAAAAAATCATATGGTCTTAGGTTCAAATTTCAACAATAACAAAAACACTAGATAATTTCTTTCATCTACCTAAAAAAAGTTACCCAGTATAGCCAAGCTGACCCGAACATCATCCTCATAACAACGTATTACATTAAGAAAAGATACACATGAAACATGGAATTTAACTCAAAATTGTCAAACCGTTTCAATTTGTTTAAAGTTTTTCAGAGTAAGAGGATCAAATTGACTAGTTTTTTGTGTGAACTAGATTCTTTACATTAGTTGAAATAAATTTTAGGTGATCCCACAAATGGATTTGAGGAAGGTAGAGTGTACGTATAAAGTACTATAAGTCACAATAATTAATAATTTAAAATATTTTAAAAATTAAAAAAATATGGTCAAACAAAACCTTTTTTGACTCTCAAAATAGTAAAAGACAGAGGGAGTAGTATATAACTGAGAATGAGAGAAGTATTGAGATAAATAATTTCATCACAAATATATGACCTAGGCAAAATTAACCAGTCGCAAAGAATTCATAATTCTGTATCAGACAATAAAAGAAAAAACAGAAAGTAATTTCAAGCTTAGCTACTCATCTTTAAACTGGAGGTGTTAACTAGGGTGCCTAGGGTGTCACGACTAATATGTCACTATTTTATTTTTTAAAACATATATATGTACATATGAAATTTTTGCCAAACTTTCTGGGTACGGGTGATACTCTTTTCACAACCTAGATCCACCTTTGATGTCCAGGTCAGCTTGTCCGCATCTTAACTATATCCACGGGTACCTGCTACCTTTGGTAGCTCTGCCCTTCTGAAACTGATGTCCCAAGTCCTGTTCTCTCTGTTTTCTACCAAAAGAAGCTGAAGTATTTACTGCCATTGACCTGGTCCGAGATTACAGAATTTCTCATACTTTTGAGTACCATGTGTTTGACCAAGAAGTGTTAAGCTTTTTATTAAATTAACTAATGTTAAAATAGAGGATGAATCTTAGTTAAATATAATAAATTCTAGATCTAATGTTGAAGGATATCAGCAGTACGTATGATATTTAAGAATAATGAATATCGGACGTGAGCTCAATGATTGCCAATGAATGTTATACTAATAAGAACATGTAATAAATGTAGACAATGGCAATAAATGTAATAAGAGGGGATTTATCACCCAAATATTGTGTGACTTGGATGATTCTCCCACCTGACAGCAACGTGGAAGGATGGGAAGTTAAGATGGATAAGAAATCCTTGGATCTATCAAACAGAGAATCAATAACGTATGTTGAGCCAAGTAGTCAGTGAACAAGACAATATTTGTATATTCTTCTCTGTCAACTCTTTACAAAGTGTTCTTATCAAGAAAAGTGAAGATCCATTTGTTCTCTATCTCTTCCTATTTATAAGGGATATTCCCAAGAAACCCTAAAAACTACAATATATGGAATATCCAAAGGAATATTCCTTGTGTCCATTTCTAAGAATATCCTACCGTTACTTCCTTACTCCAGTTGATCGTCCTCGGCAATAATCCTCTAAGGACGACTCCTCGCTGTTATGCCGTGGTCGACCCCATCCTCGACCGAATTTATCTACAGCTATCAAGTCGCCAAATTTAGACCAATACAGTTAGTCCCTCCGCTTGTTGAGGTTGTGATCTTGCACGCCCTCGAGAAGCGGACCTGGTCTGCATCGGTTTAGAAGAAATTTGGTCGTGTCGATTAAGTCGAAGTGGCCGAGGTTGAAAAAATGGCGTGGCCAGCGAGGCTGCGGTTGGTGTGGCTAATTACGCGTCTTCCCGAGGTAGCGTCTGTGCTTTTGTCGTTTTGATTTCGATGCCATTGTCGGTCTATTGCTTCGATTCTGGTGCCACCCAGAACTATAAATAGATAGGGGGCTTCATTTTTTAAAATTTTCATCATTTCTCATTTCGCAAGTGTATTGCTCCCCTTTGATCTTCTTCTCTGATCTCCGCTTTCAATTCCTTGCAGCCTCTTCAATTTTAATCTATGACTTCTTACCCGGTCAATATCTTCTTCGGATTTTGTTGCATACATTTTGCTACGGAAATATGTCCAACTCTCCTCATATTCATGATGAAGTTTCTGATGCCACTCCATTATCGATGGCCCTTCCTCCTAGCGGTGAGGAAT